GGTCATGATCCCAGGGTCCTGGGATCGAGACCCGCGTTGGGCTCCCTGCTCAGAGGAGAGCCTGCTTCTCCCTCTCCCTCTGCCTGCCTCTCTGCCTTCTTGTGCTCTCTATCTCTCTGTCAAATAAATAAATAAAATCTTTTTTTAAGATTTATTATTTATTTGACAGAGAGAGAGACAGCGAGAAAGGGAACACAAGCAGGGGGAGTGGGAGAGGGAGAAGCAGGCTTTCCACTGAGCAGGGAGCCCAATGCGGGACTTGATCCCAGGACCCTGAGAGCATGACCTGAGCCGAAGGCAGACGCTTAACGACTGAGCCACCCAGGCACCCCAATAAATAAAATCTTTAAAAAAATAAAAAAATAAAAAATAATAAAAATTGGGAGATTTCAGCATGGGGCCTGGCTGGCTCAGTCCATAGAGCCTGCAACTCTTGATCTCAGGGTCATGAGTTCAAGCCCCATGTTGGGCATGGAGCCTACTTAATTTAAAAAAAAAAAAAAAAAAAAATTTTTTTTTTTTAATAAAAGAAAAATGGGGGAGATTTCACATAAAACCCCCAAATTTTAGCTTCTCCTGAAAAAAGATCTGGTAACACTGGGTCACATTTCCAAATGGGAATACATTCATGTGGAGCTGAACAGATCTGCTCCCCGCCTCCCCCAGTGACCATGGAGCATTTCTTCTCTGGTTCACCACAGGCCCCCTCTAACTTGCAGCACTTATTTACATCATCTGCCTGGTCTTTGTAGGCGTTTTCATTGGCGACCTCTGCACTGTACTGGGTTATAAGCAGGTCAAGAGGGTGAGGGTGCCGGAGGCAGTAAAAGGGCACTGACAGAGTAATTCCAAGCACTGGCTATTTTGGTGCCACTTCCTAGAATTTAGAAGAGAAGCATTTTCTAAGACTGAAACTGGAGAACATAGTAGAAGATCTGTGGAGAAGGTTCCAGGATGCACTCAAGAATTACACCGATGCCACAGAGGACCAAAAGATTGCCTTTGAGACGCTGCAGGTGAAAGATGAGAAGAGCTCCAAAGAGATTGAAGCACAGATGAAAAAAATACAGAGACTACAGGTGAGTGCAGCCAACTGGAAATACTCACTGCTTTAACTGCTCCATTATCCCCTGGTCATCTTCTCCCAGTTTCCACTGGACCCTGTCACTGGTTGGGGAAAGACGAGATCCTTGGATTTCAGTCCCCAGATTGTCCTTTTACCTGTCTCACCGAAGACCTTTAGCTTGTCAAGGGTTTCCTCTAAACTCTGTTCTTCCAGGACTCCATAATTATTTTAAAAAGCAAGATCATGGTGCACAGCCGTGAGAGTGAAGACCAGAACCAGTACATTCGTAAGGACAAGGAGCTGGTCCTTGCCCAACTGCGAAAATTTAAGGCCCAAAGGACTCAGGCCCGGGAACTATCCCAGGAAAACTTAGTCAAACTCACCTTGGAAAGTAATGCCACCCTCAAGGCCCTGAGAAGGATCGTCGATAAGGTAACAGGGGAGAGGGCAGTCAAACAAAACCAAGGAACTTGGCTCCCTGTGAAGCAAAAGGGGTCTGAGAGAGGTAGAGGGCTTTCTCCTGCTTCCTGCCTGAGTGGACATCTGGAGTACCTTTTTTATTCCATGTTCCCTCCCCTCTCACATTTTAAATTAAATGAATTAATAATGAATTTGCTAAGACTGTAAAACACTTGGAATAGTGCTTGGCACCTAGTAAGCACTCTGTGTTAGATGTATTCATTACTCTTGTCTCACGTTTGGATGAATTGCTTCCCTGGGTTTAAGCAGGGGAACCAGCTCCACTATTTCCCCTCCCCACCCCCTTTCCTAATAAAAGGTCTCTTCCTGCTTCTGATAGGGTGAAAAGATCCTGAAACTTGCTGAAATATGTAGGAAGTTTGAAACAGAGGAAGAAAAAGTGCTGCCTTTCTATTCATCAGTCTTGACTCCCAAGGAGCAGGAGAAGATAGAAGAAATTTACCCAGAGGAGCTTACCGAGCAGCTCGCAAAGGTAAAAGTTCCTAGGGTCCAGAGGCCATCACCCAAGGTTGGGGATCATGGGGTACTGGGCTGCATTTGCTAATGGGCCTCAACACGCACCTTCTCCCTTTAACCAACTCCCAGGTGATAGTAAACTACACAGGGATGGAGAATTTCTGGAAAAGGTACAACAAAGTGAAACTGGAGCAGCTGAGCCTCCAACATAGACATGTCCAGTTGTTAGAAATCAATGGGAAGTTGCGGGAGATGCTGAAGCAGTACTTGGATGGCATCTCAGTGAGTGACGAAGTGATGAGCCAGCTCAACCCACTCTTTATCGTCAACCATCGAAGTAACTTACCCCAGCCTTTGTCCACACCTACCACCCAGCCAGGTGACAAACCACCTCCAACCACTTACATCATTGAAGCAGCCCATGTGATCTCCCACATCCTGTGATATAAGGAGAAAATCGCTTTTCAAACCCCAAACAATTTTTTGAGAGACCAGAGGACTTTGCTATTAAAAATTTCCATGAGGTTTATGAGCTCCTTCTATGTTTGCCATATTGGACAGAGCAGTCTACTTGGAAGATACCAGGAATACGGTGGCCCCAGAGAGTGGAGATAATAGCTAGGCAATTATCAGGAGGCTCATTGTTCATGAAGCACTGCTTCTTCGAGTCTGGGCACTATGAGGGCCAGAACCAATACCTTTGGGGTGTAGAGATCCTATGGGAACATTCAAGAGCAGGTCCTTGGCGGTAAGTTAGGACAAGAAGAGGCAGGGGAAGAGGTGATCCAAAGCCTCCAACCACCCCAATGTCAGGCAAGATCCAACTCAGAATGCCTTTTACCCCAGCCCTTTACCTCATTCCCACTTACAGCAGTAGCCTCAGAAAGTATCAGGTGAAGAATCCAGAGAAATTTTTAAAAATTATTTATTATTTCTTTTTGCTCTTGTTTCGTTTCTCTTCCTTGAGCTTCTTTCTGGAGACTTTAGGTCTGTTGGCCTTTTTGTATAGGTGATACCCAATGAGGCCCAGGAGGGCTGGCGCCATGGCCATGCCTATCAGAGGCAAAATGCCCTTCACCAGCTTTTGCCAGTAGTTGGCTCGGATCAGTGCAATCAGCTCCACATCAAACTGCAGCACTGCATCCGCTGAAGGCAGAGAGGAGTTGAGGGTTAGAATCTCTGCATTTTATCCAGGGCTCAGAATCTAAATGAAAACAGGGAGGGCAGGCCACACCACAGCAAAAACTATGAAGCTGACAAGATTTAAACATGTTGAGTTCCTTTAGACAAAAGTAGAGAAGGGTTATGAGCAGACTCTACTGATAGTTATGTTTACCCCAAATCTCCAAGTGTGGCTTGTGTTCAGTGACAAGTCTATGACAGGACAGGGAAACTTTCTGTGGATCTAAGACATACAGGCTGTTTGCCAGTGATAAGTGAGAGAACCTCTATACTAACTGTACTCCCATTTCCAAATAGCCACATCAATAGAATCTTTGCAGGGCTGAAATTAACTGGATTTAACCTAGACATTTTAAAATGTCACCAACCAAGGAGCACATGCAATGTGACTGTTAGAAAACATAGATGTTTCAACACAGACGAAAGAGGTGGCTTAAGAAGTAAGGAGCAGGTGAATGAAGAGGAGTGAGTCAGGGAGAAATGCAAACACTGGAAATGGGGAGATCACAGAGCTTTGGGTAAAAGAGTTTTTCTTTAGTCCCATGACCCTCTTTGCGGTTCTTCCTCTAAGTTGGAACTAGGATAAGAACTTTTATCCTAATAATCTGAAGTACAAAAATTTTAGCTAATAGGACATTTGTCATAACCCAAAACAAGAGATCTGCATCTTAGGAAATCTGTCCGGTGACCTGTTGATAGCTTTTTTTTTTTTTTTTTTAAGATTTTATTTATTTATTCATGAGAGACAGAGAGAGAGAGAGAGGCAGAGGGAGAAGCAGGCTCCCAAGGAGCAGGGAGCCCGATGCGGGACTTGATCCCAGGAGGCTGGGATCATGACCTGAGCCGAAGGCAGACGCTTAACCATCTGAGCCACCCAGGCACCCGATAGCTTTTAAAGTTATAGGGTGGACTTGGCTTCCAAAAGTTGTTTTTTGTTTTGCTTTGTTTTGATTTACTTGACTGTGAATATTTTTACTGCCTCCTCCCTGGGGGAGCCTGAAAGGAGGGGTGGAGATGTGGTGATAAAGAAAAGGCAGGAAAGTCTAGAGTTCTGAGAAGGGGTAGCGGAGGCAACAGACCCAAGTGGCTCAAGTAGGTGTCTCCTCCCTAAAAAGTTGCTTTCTGCCAGAGGGAAGCCAGGTAGCCTTAACAGATTCTAGGTCTCTAGTCCCTGTTGGTGATCTGAAGAGGAAAAAAGCAGCCCTGCAGAAGGAGGCCCCAGCCACCCCTGGCCTTTCCAGAAAACTGGATTTAGACTTTTTCAAGCTCCAGACAGAGCTCTGAGGGCCTGGGTATTTTGACTGCCTTGAGAGAGAAAGGCCTCGTCAGATTACCTGGGATAGACGGTGGAAATCCCCGTTTTCCATAGGCCAAGTGAGAAGGAATGATTGCCCTTCGCTTCTCTCTGAGGGAAGGAATGTGAATCACAGCTAGAGGTGGGACCAGGTGGGCCCGCAGCCTCAGTCCATCTGCAGCCCCACCAGCAAAACTCTCTGGATATTCACTCCAAATGATGAACTTTCCCACCTGAGCACCAAGCAGGTTGACCAGGAAAGGTCTCTGTCCCCCCATATGCCTCAACTCCTCCAACAAAACCCACAGTCAGATAGGCACAGTGGCTTTGGATGCTCTTAGGGGTCCCAATGACCCGGACCTGCCCAGTGCAAAGCTTTTATCACACATTCTTCTGCCTCCTCTAGGAGCAAGGATAGCAAAGTAAGCCTCCCCCCGTGCAAAGGGGGTACCCAAGCCCACCCCTGCCCAGATACTCACCCCACACACATGTCTAGAAGGCTCTGCTCCAGACCTTGAGGAAGAAGACACAACTGAACAGGAAGCTACCTACATTCCCCAAATCCCAGGAGAGGAGGATCTAAGGCTCCCTACGACCCTCAACTGAGCTCCCCACTGCTCAAATCCCTGGTTGCCAGTGGGGCATGGGGCAAAAGGAGTGTTAGAAGCCATATTTGAACCTCAGGAGGTGACCGGTAGAGTCCTGGGGGGCATTTCCAATGTATTTCAGGGCTTGAGGAGGCGAAGAAGGGCTTAGGCTGGGAAGAAATAGAATGGGAGGCGCAGGTCACATACCTGGGATCACCTGCTTTTGGCCAAGTTCTATAACCAGAGGGTCTCTGGTCAGCGAAGTGTCAATAATGCGTCCATCTAGCAGGCTGCCCTGTGGGGAGAGGGCAGCAGGAGCGCACCACACTCACCTGGGCCCCCGGGCGGCGGCGGCACCCCCCTCGCAGCTGCAGCCCAGCAGTCCCCTCTGGGCAGAAAGCAACAGGAAGCCCCAAAGGGCTAGCACTTCTCGGAGCTCTCCCCACCCTCCGCTTCTCTGCACCGGGGCGGAACTGGCGGAAAAGCGGGGAAGGGAAATGGGCAGGCAAGAGGAGCGCCCCTACCCCCGCCACGTGCTCGCCGACCCCAGAGCTCCAACTTCACTCCCGCACCGCTTGCCACGTGTCGCAGCCAACACTGACGTGTTCCAGCAGGGCGCCGCCCCCTCCCAGGCCCCGACCCGGCCCCCCAGATCCCTCACCGTGTAGTGTACGTGGAGCGTGTCTCCAAAGGCAGCGGGCTCCGCACACGGCTCGGGGGGCTCCACCTATGATCGGACTGAGGGAGTCACGCAGGCTCCTCCAGAGATCCCGTTCCTGCCCCTGCACCCGGCACTCCCCTGCCCAGTTCCCGCACTCGCTCTCCTCCCCGCTCCCAGGTTCGTTCGGACCCCCTCATTCCCTCCCAAGGCCCAGCCGCCGCAGCCCCGGGACACCCTCTCCTCACCAGGGTCTCCACTTGGAGGGTCCGGACGGGACTTTCGGTTTCAAACCCAGCCTCAGTGCGGCACACCGCCCCACTGAGCAGCAGTAGCAGACGGAGCGGGAGTAGTGAGGGGCGCAGGGTCATGACTGGACGCGGGCCAAGGCACGGGGCACCAGGACAGGCTGCTCAGGGGGCGACGGCTAGGACAGCGGTTCCCTCGGCGCCCAGGCCGGACTGGACGGGACGGGGCGGGTCGCGACGCTGCAGCTCCTCCTCCAGCAGCCCTTCCTCCACCTTGTCCCCACCTCCTGGAGGGAGGAGGCCGCCGGGAGCCCTCCCTACCCTCTAAGATCGAAGGTCGCGTTTTAGGACCCATCCGTTAGCCGTTCTGTCCCATAGCGAGGGGCTGGATCACTTAATAGCACCCACTTACGATGACCTACTGTGTGCCAGTCACTTTTCTGTAATCCTCAAAACCACCCTGAAAAGCAGGCATAATTGTCTCCATTTTACAGATGCGGAGCTGGGTGTTCAGGTTAAGTAACTTGCCCAAGGTCTTCTAGCTAGGTGGCGACAGAGACAAGATTCAAGCCCAGGATTGCCTGAGTCCAGCGTGTTTGCTTTCTTTCCTCTGAAGATATAGGTCTCTTCACACCTGTCCTGGCAGTGTCTGGTTGGCCCACCCCACCCAGCAGTTGTTAAAGAGGGCATCCCTCTCCCACCTCCAGCCCTTCAGCTTGAATTCTGGAGGTCATAGGAGGCAGGGAGCTGTCTCATCTCCCTGTTCTTTGGAAAGCTAATTTCATAGAGCCAGGAGCTATTTTCCTGTAAGGATGGGTGAATGCCTTATCTTTTCCTGACACCAACATATCCCTCCTCCTTTATCAGCAAGCATGTAAAAAGGGCAGCTACCTATAACCCATTTGTTTGTGCAAGGACCTCGGATTTTATTTTTATTTTGCCCAATATGGGGCTTCAACTGACGCCAAGATGGGAGTCTCATGCTCTACAGACTGAGCCAGCCAGGTACCCCAAGGATTTCAGTTTCTTAAAGGGGTTTTAAATTATTTCAGACAATGCAACCAGTCCCCTTTTGTACGATTTAAGCCCTCAATGCCCACTCAGGCCATGGCATCTGAATTCTGCTCCCTCAGAAAGTCATCAGTGAGCTCAGTCACCAAATTCTTGGGTCATTTCTTGGTCCCTTGTCCTCTTTAGCATCTCTCTCGTATTTGATGCCATTGAGCTCTGAATGCCCTCCCAAGCTCTAGATACAACTGCCTACTGGGTATCTCCACCTGGATGTTTGACCAGCACGTCAAATCAACACACCCAATACTGTACTCTTTCCTTTTTCTCCATCCATCCCATCTGTAACAATCTAGAATTCCCTATTTTCTGTTTTCTGTTAGTTTCTGTTAGTGGCTCTGCTGTTAGCATTCTCCTAGATTCTCCTCTCATCTCCCACATCAACCAGTCTCCTTTGGATTCTCCTTCCACCACCTCTCCAAGGGCTACTACCCTAATTAAGCCCTCATTACCTCTCTCTTTGGAGTTGTTGAAAGTCTCCTCAGCAGGATGGCAAGGGAATTTCTAGGGATGATGGAATGTTCTGTATCTTGATAGGGAGGTGGCTTACATGGGTGTATGCATTTGTCAGAACTTATCAAACTATATGAGATCTGTGCATTGCACTGCATGCAAATTATACATCAAATTATACCTCAAATTAAAAAATAATAATAAACACAAAACTACATTTCCAAGTCTTCCTTAAAGCTGGATAAGGCCATGGGACTAAGTTCTGGCCAGTAAGACATAAACGTAAGTGTTGGAAATATTGTCCTGGACTTCCAGCAAGGCTCCTTAAAGGGAATTAATTCAGCTAAGAAGTGTGTCATTGTGTGCTCCTCCTCCTCTCCCCAAGCTCCTTCCCTTCCTTTGTTCTGCTGCCTGGAACGTAGAGGAGATGAATTACACTCTAGCAGTCACATCAGACCATGAGGTGACCATGAGAATGAAGCTATGTGTGAGGACGGTGAAGCAAAAAGAAGCCTAAGCCCTGGGCGCCTGGGCGGCTCACTGGATTAAGCGTCTGCGTTTGGCTCAGGTCATGATCCTGGAGTCCTGGGATTGAGTCCTGCATGGGGCTCTCTGCTTGGCAGGGAGTCTGCTTCCCCACTCTCCCTTTCTCAAATAAATAAATAAAATTTTAAAAGATTTTATTTATTTGTCAGAGAGAGAGAGCACAAGCAGGGGGAGCGGCAGGCAGAGGGAGAAGCAGGCTCCCCACTAAGCAGGGAGCCTGAAGCGGGACTTGATCCCAGGAACCTGGGATCGTGACCTGAGCTAAAGGCAGACGCTTAACCAACTGCACCACCCAGGCATCCCTAAATAAACAAAATCTTCAAAAAAAAAAAAAAAAAAAAAAAAGAAGTCGTCTAGATAACCGTAGAGCCACCATTCCAGACCTGGACTGCCTATCACCAGACACTTTTTAACTGAGGTAGAAATGAATTTCTATCTGGTTTAAAAAAAGACAGACAGAGAGCACTCTCAGTCCCTCATCCCCAGCCTCTTCCTACTTCCGCCCATTCTGTACACTGCTGCTATCTGCTCAGCTCCAGTCATGGAGCCTATGGCCCCATATTGCCCAGTGAATAAAATTCAGACTCCATGACGTGCCAGTTGAAAGCTTTGACCATCTGGTCCTAGTCTGCCTTTCCAAACTTGGCTTTTATTCCATTAAATTGAAGTCCTTTTAATGACAGCAACCTCATCTTTCTCATTTCTATACTCATTGCCTAGTATGGTGTTTGATATATAGATGGGTCAATAAACATTTATGAATTGAACCAAATCCTCTTCCTGCTCACGGACTGTGGTCTGGCATCAGATGAACCTGCGTCATGTGTTTCCATCTCTGTGCCCTGGCTCATGCTCTTCCTTCACCTGTCAAGCTGCCTCCAAACCAAGCTGAAATATTACTTCCTCTGTAAAGTCCTGATTCCCTTATTTAGAAGTCACTTCTCTTATTTCTTTTTTTTTTTTTTAAAGATTTTATTTATTTATTTGAGACAGAATGAGAGAGAGAGAGCACATGAGGGGGGGGGTCAGAGGCAGAAGCAGCCTCCCTGCCGAGCAGGGAGCCTGATGCGGGACTCGATCCAGGGACTCCAGGATCATGACCTGAGCCGAAGGCAGTCGCTTAACCAACTGAGCCACCCAGGCGCCCCACTTTTCTTATTTCTGAACTTCCAGCATACACTGGGGGACATTATTATATTTTCCCTTGTGTTGCAATTGTTTGTGTATGCCCCACTTCTCCCTATCTCTAAAGAGCCAGCTCACCGATGGCAAGGACAAGGTTACGATCATGCCTGGAGTCCCCTAGGTACTAGCTACACAATACCCCCCCGTATAACAGATTCTAGACAGATGTGTTTTATATTGAATAAATATTATGCTATGTAATACTTTTTCTTTTTGCTATGCGATACTTTTAATAGAATTAAAAATATCTAACTATACTGGGGTGCCTGGGTGGCATAGTTGCTTAAGCATCCATCCAACTCTTGGGTTTCAGCTCAGGTCGTGTCTCGGTGTTGTGAGATCAAGCCCTGAGTCAGGCTCCGCGCTCATTGTGGAGTCTGCTTGAGATTCTCTCTCTCTGCCCCTCCTGCTCATATTCTCCCTCTCTAAAATAAAAATAAATCTGTAAAAAATATATATATAATTATACTAACTTGGAAAACCTCCAAGACAAATATATATACCCTTATGTTTTTTTAAAAAAAAAGCAAGGAGGAGGACAAGAATAGAGCCTGGGTGGCTCAGTCGGTTAAGTGTCTGCCTTTGGCTCAGGTCATGGTCCCAGGGTCCTGGGCTCAAGTCCCACATCGGGCTCCCTGCTCAGCGGGGAGTTTGCTTCTCCCTCTGCCTGCCGCTCCCCCTGCTTGTGCTCTCTGACAAATATTTTTAAAAATAAATTTTAAAAAACCAAGAATAATAGATATGAAAGGAGTCCACTTATATCTTAACCCCTCCCCAAATGTGTGGAGGTATAGCTCTTTAAAAAAGAAACTACCAGAAGGAGGCACACTAAATAGCCACAGGTGGTTACCTTGGGAATGGGAGTGAGAAAAGTAGAGGGGAACAGTTTCCACATGTTGCTCTGTATACTTATGTTTTGTTTGGATGTTCTGCAATGAAAATTATTTTGGTTACAAAAATAAACTTTAAAATTAAATATTAAATGAATGACCACAATATATAAGAATACAAGGGAATGTGTGGGAGATGTTGAATGAGTTGAGCTAATGAAACTAAAGAGGGAGGGAAGAGTCCTTGTGATTAGAGAGGTCACGGGCAGCTTTGTAGATCTTAAAGAAAAGTGGTATTTTTAAAAAAGTGAGAAAGGGGATAAAGGCAGCAGGTCAGATGTCAGCTATTTGGGGAAAATGAGTGGCCCAGTTTGGCTAAAGTAATGGGTTCCAGCAGAAGGAGTAGAGAGAGGGAGTTAGAGAGGGAGTTAGAGAGGGAAGCAAGAACTGGTTGTGGAGAGCCTGAATGTCAGACAAAGGCATGGGAAGCCACTGAAGGTTTCTGAGCAAAGCTGTGACCGTGCACACTGCTCTGATGCGTGGGCTGACTGCAACAGTGTCATGAAGCTGGAAAGCTCCTGCCCAGTCCAGGTCTGAGGCGTTGTCCGGGATGGAAAGGGGAAGTAGGGGTGGAGTTGGGGGGGGGGGCGGCATGGGAATCGGGCAAAACTAAGACAACAATATCACCCACATAGGGCAGCACAAGCCCACCTGAGCCCAGAAGGGAACCGGGAGGAAGGAGCTTTCCCCTTGGATCAAGTTAAGAGGAACCTGAAGGACAGAGGAAGGTGAGATGGTTTTGGGAAAGGTAGGGAAGCTGGCACAACCCTGACTGGAGGCACAAGTTTGAAATCAGAGGGCCACTCCTAGAAAGGCCTCCACCTTCAAAGGTGTCTTGTCAGCGAGTAGAAGAAACTCTACCACAGCCCCCTGGACTCACAGGGTACCCACCAGGTCCAGTTTGGTTGAGGACAATGATGTTTATTCATTCATCAAGGCTGAATGCCTATTATGTGCCAGACAGTAAGCAGGGCACTGCTTTTTAAATATTTTTAATCTGTTTATTTTTAACAGACTTAATAAACAAAAAGCCTGTGAGTCAGCATATGTAAATTTGGATTCAAAATCTAATGCCATATTTTCAAGGGCATGTATACCTTAGATGACAAAATGTTTTCTTTTTAGGTATGGTTATGCCCTCATTCAGCCCACTCTCTTCTGCAGCTCATGGCCAAAGTGACACACACAAGCAGACACTCACCTTCAAGCCGTGATGGTGTATAGTCCTGACCCAAGTTCCTCACTTCCAGACCTCCAGCCACTGCACTGCTCCCTTTCCCAAGGTTTGCACTTCCTCAGATTTAACCTTCTCTTCCCTTTGCTCAGGAACTCGGGGTCATTCTTACCCAATCCCAGCAGCCAGGGCCAGGAAACCCAATTAGACTGAAAAACCTACAGAGGAAGGAAGGTCTCTGGATCCTATTGCTCCCCAGTGACGAGCAGGATACTTACTCTATTCCTCCAGTTACCAGGTTAGAAAGTAGAGAGCTGGACTTTGGCCCTCCTATCTCCACACCCTTCAGAACTGGAAAAGAAGTGTTCTTAGTACTATGACTGCCTGCCCAAAGACACCACCCTGTGCACCAAGCAGCAGCAGAGGGGTATCCTCCACACAGTTATTCCCCAACTCTCACTAACCCACATGCTGCACTATGGATGGATATCCCAAAGGATTTCAGAGCATCCCAGAAATGGATTCCCAGGTCTCTCCATCAGAACAGTGGTTTGACTTCCTTCTTAGCACAGGTCTGAAACCCTAAAAGGTACTAAGTAAATACCTGTTTTTTCTGCTCTGACCAATCTGGCACTTGAACTAGAAGTGATGCAGTGAACCCTCAGAGCCTTCAGACCTTATACCTCAAGTCTGAGAAACTCCTACATACCACACTCACTTTCCCTGTCACTGTCCCCAAACTCTGAAATGAAGGGAACAGTTCTGTCCTCCATCCCACCCAGACAAATTCAAGGCCTTCCACTGGTTCTCTCCAGGCTCATGTTGGAAACTCCCTTGCCCAAATTATTCTGAAGTAGACCCTGGGCCTCAAGTCTTCTGTCAAACCATAACTGAAGAGCTATTCCAAGTTCTGGGCAGATATGGTTGCTATTTGTCCTAAGAGCTGGATGCTGAACATGTATCTTCCAGGTTAAGTCTCTCCCCCATCCCACCATGTGCCCTCAAAAGAAGCTGGAAAGTTTAAGCGAACTGCCACAAGAGGGCTCCCCCCACCTCCTTCCTGGCATCTTAAATGGGAGTACTGAGGGACAAAAGGGACTAGGTCATCCTCTTCAGGGGTCAAAAGACACCCACTGACCTGCCATCCAGCTAAAGTCCTTTCCATTATCTTATGAGGGGCTATAGTACTAGAAGGAATATGCTTATTAATGTATAAATAAAGCACTTGGGAAAGGTGCTCTTATCAGTAACCTTGGTCACCAAGCAGGACTTTTGAGGAGCACAGAGGTAACTGAATACAAATGATTTATTTCACACTGGTACTTGGGGCTCTCAAACTTACTGTATGCCTAAATCCTGTCCCTTTCCACATCAAGATGGGAAGGTCTCTGTCCCCAAAGCTTAAGAAAGTGGTGAGAGTGGGGAAGGCCTCCCTAGCTCCCCAAGACCTCACCCACCAAAGGAAGGGGATGCTCCATCTTTTTCTTTTCCTGGGGCCAGACAGTAGTAGCAGGAGATGAAGAGAGTAGTGGCAGGAGTGGGCTGGGAGGGCAAAGGCTTGTCCTTTCCCTCAAGACACTGTGGAATCTCTGGATGAGGCTTGGCATCCTGACAATGGGGAACCGTATGCCTGAAGTAGAGGTGATACAGGGCCATAGCTGTAAGGAGGATCAAGTTCATTACACCATCCAGACCTTTAC